GTGGTGCGGTGGTTAGCGTGACACAGCGCGAAACCAGACTTCTTTTTTTCCTCAATGGAAAGCATATTTACACTGTTTGAATCGTTCCCTGTCCCCTATATAGTGCACTACGTGCCATTCACTGTACAGAAAATACTAATTCTGTGGACAAGTGACCGATTTCAACCGCGGCTTCAGCGTCTATTTTTATAGTGTAGGGGGCGGGCGCTTCGGATTCTAGAGAGCATTTGATTGGACAAAGTTTGATGAGAAGCTGAAGTACGATGTGACATCAAAAAAAAATCGTTGTGACGTTTTGGCGGAAGTGACGAACTGCAAGCTTTGAATGCTTATATCTTCTAAATGCGAATTTTGTCACGGTTTTGGCGTACACTGCCTTCTAGATAACCTTAAGACTAACATATTGATACTAACACCCAAAAAACTTCATGGGGACTTTAAGTCCCTGGGGTATATTTTTAGCAATAGCCAAAAAAAAAACATTGTATAGGTCAAAATTATCGATTTTTCTTTTATGCCAAAAATCATTAGGATATTAAGTAAAGATCATGTTCCATGAAGATATTTTGTAAATTTCCTACTGTAAATATATCAAAACTTAATTTTTGATCAGTAATATGCATCGCTAAGAACTTCATTTGGACAACTTTAAAGGTGATTTTCTCTGTATTTGAACTTTTTGGCACCCTCAGATTCCAGATTTTCAAATAGTTGTATCTCAGCCCAATATTGTCCTAACAAATCATACATCAACGGAAAGCTTATTTATTCGGCTTTCAGATGATGTATACATCTCAATTTCAAAACATTTACCCTTATGACGGGTTTTGTGGTCCAGGGTCACAAATGGTTGTCTTAAGTGAAAACTAGTTGCTTCGCAAAAAGTCTGTTTTGAGTTTAACATTTTCCAAATTTAATCAGAAGTCATTTAAGTGACAATGTTGAAAAATATAGGGCATGGCTTTAATTTCAATTAGTAGCAGCTCTGATTATAGGCAGAATTACAATAACAAGATGGCTTTCCTTATTGTGGTTAAAAATTAGTTGTATCATTGTAAAGATTTTGAAAAATTACTAATATCGTGGAAAGGATTTTGTTCATATTGCCTACCTCTAAGAAATTTAAACAGGGATCTGTCAGAAGGTTTACACATAAAATTTACTAGTCACGAATATTTTCTGTTTATTTTATTTCCAACAACTGAATGAATGAACACACAAATGAATGCCAACTGAATTATATAATAGTTTTTAACTTTGCATATTTGTGGTAAGCAGTGTGCAAAATTGGAGAATCATGTTCAATCCTGTGTATTGGTAAAAAAAAACATTATAGGTCATATTTTTGTCTCTTTGTTTTAAGATTAAACATTGGTTAAAGTTCTGGATTTACAATAAAAAAATTCAGCTTAAACCCTGATGCTACATTTTTCACTGAGATAAAAGTACTTTTTTTCAAAAAGTCTGTTTTGAGTTTAACATTTTCCAAATTTAATCAGAAGTCATTTAAGCGACAATGTTGAAAAATATAGGGCATGGCTTTAATTTCAATTAGTAGCAGCTCTGATTATAGGCAGAATTACAATAACAAGATGGCTTTCCTTATTGTGGTTAAAAATTAGTTGTATCATTGTAAAGATTTTGAAAAATTACTAATATCGTGGAAAGGATTTTGTTCATATTGCCTACCTCTAAGAAATTTAAACAGGGATCTGTCAGAAGGTTTACACATAAAATTTACTAGTCACGAATATTTTCTGTTTATTTTATTTCCAACAACTGAATGAATGAACACACAAATGAATGCCAACTGAATTATATAATAGTTTTTAACTTTGCATATTTGTGGTAAGCAGTGTGCAAAATTGGAGAATCATGTTCAATCCTGTGTATTGGTAAAAAAAAACATTATAGGTCATATTTTTGTCTCTTTGTTTTAAGATTAAACATTGGTTAAAGTTCTGGATTTACAATAAAAAAAAATTCAGCTTAAACCCTGATGCTACATTTTTCACTGAGATAAAAGTACTTTTTTTTTTCAAAGCATGCTGGGTAAGGAACACCTGGTTGTTTTTCGTTGGCGTTGTGGTACCCATGGCTGACCTGAGAGATATGGTTGATGGAGGACTCCATCCTGCGCAGCTGTGAAGCCTGAATATCCAACAGCTGCAGCACATTGTTGGCTAAGGCATTGATCTGATAGGCCACGCTCGCCAGGGACTGGGTAGTGTAGGCTTTGGTCTCCTCGAGGGCTTTCCTCTTGTCTTGTGCCTAAGCAGAGATTTAAAAAAAAAAGATCCCACAAGTTTTAAAGACATAGTTTGCACATATCGATTTTTCTTTTATGCCAAAAATCATTAGGATATTAAGTAAAGATCATGTTCCATGAAGATATTTTGTAAATTTCCTACTGTAAATATATCAAAACTTAATTTTTGATCAGTAATATGCATCGCTAAGAACTTCATTTGGACAACTTTAAAGGTGATTTTCTCTGTATTTGAATTTTTTTGCACCCTCAGATTCCAGATTTTCAAATAGTTGTATCTCAGCCCAATATTGTCCTAACAAATCATACATCAACGGAAAGCTTATTTATTCGGCTTTCAGATGATGTATACATCTCAATTTCAAAACATTTACCCTTATGACGGGTTTTGTGGTCCAGGGTCACAAATGGTTGTCTTAAGTGAAAACTAGTTGCTTCGCAAAAAGTCTGTTTTGAGTTTAACATTTTCCAAATTTAATCAGAAGTCATTTAAGCGACAATGTTGAAAAATATAGGGCATGGCTTTAATTTCAATTAGTAGCAGCTCTGATTATAGGCAGAATTACAATAACAAGATGGCTTTCCTTATTGTGGTTAAAAATTAGTTGTATCATTGTAAAGATTTTGAAAAATTACTAATATCGTGGAAAGGATTTTGTTCATATTGCCTACCTCTAAGAAATTTAAACAGGGATCTGTCAGAAGGTTTACACATAAAATTTACTAGTCACGAATATTTTCTGTTTATTTTATTTCCAACAACTGAATGAATGAACACACAAATGAATGCCAACTGAATTATATAATAGTTTTTAACTTTGCATATTTGTGGTAAGCAGTGTGCAAAATTGGAGAATCATGTTCAATCCTGTGTATTGGTAAAAAAAAACATTATAGGTCATATTTTTGTCTCTTTGTTTTAAGATTAAACATTGGTTAAAGTTCTGGATTTACAATAAAAAAATTCAGCTTAAACCCTGATGCTACATTTTTCACTGAGATAAAAGTACTTTTTTTTTTTCAAAGCATGCTGGGTAAGGAACACCTGGTTGTTTTTCGTTGGCGTTGTGGTACCCATGGCTGACCTGAGAGATATGGTTGATGGAGGACTCCATCCTGCGCAGCTGTGAAGCCTGAATATCCAACAGCTGCAGCACATTGTTGGCTAAGGCATTGATCTGATAGGCCACGCTCGCCAGGGACTGGGTAGTGTAGGCTTTGGTCTCCTCGAGGGCTTTCCTCTTGTCTTGTGCCTAAGCAGAGATTTAAAAAAAAAAGATCCCACAAGTTTTAAAGACATAGTTTGCACAAAAATTTTAATTCTGTCATTATGTACTCCCCCCTCATGTCATTGCTTGTGAAATATAGTTTCAACCCAGTCATCCACAATAAATGATTTTCCAAGCTAAAAGCTGTTGTGCCTTTGTGAATGATGATGTAAAAGCATCTTGGAATTTCTAATGGACTCTAGAGGAAATATTACATCTGATCAGATCGTCACGTGGAAAAAGTCATTGGCTGCTCAATGAAAGGTCAGTGATCCTCAGAGCGACAATGGGAAGTGATGGGCAAGTAACACACTAGATGCAGGTTCTTCCAGGATTGTCTATTATAAGTGTACTACTGATCAAAAATTATGGGGTCAGTATGATTTTCTAAAAGAAATTAATACTTTTATTCAGCAAGGATGCATTTTGTGTGACAATAAAGACACATACAATTACAAAAGATTTTCATTTCAAATAAATGCTGTTCTTTTGAACTTTCTATTCATCGAATCATCGTGAAAAAAGTGTACCGTGGTGTCCACAAAAATATTTAGTACAACTGCTAGCAGAACATTGATAACAATAAAACATGTTTTTGAGCAAATCAGCATATTAGAATGATTTCTGAAGGATCATGTGACACCGACGACTAGAGTAATGATGATTAAAATTCAGCTTTGATCACAGGAATTAATATAAGGATAAGATCCTTTAAAAATATTTACAAACATCAAAATAGAAAAGTTATTTTTGCAATATTTTACATTTTTTGTATACTATATATTTTTTTAGCAAATAAATGCAACCTTGGTGAGCATTAGAGCTTTTTTCAAAAACATAAAAAAAATCTTACCAACCCCAAACTTTTGAACGGTAATATTGCTGTAAATTGCTTTAAATAAACACATCTACTAATTAAAAAAGTGATCAGGACCCCAGTAATATAATGATTTGAATACATTTTATACACACTGGATAGCTGGCCAATCACAGCACAAAAGTGTGACAGAAATGTTACGCCCCTTACCATACTGTGATGCCGTGTTCCGGCGCGACGAGACAAAACCAATAAAACTCATTATAAACGAGGCATTCGTTGCATCCAGTGGGGACATAATTTCTGATTATAATGACTTACTGTCTTTTTACGCGTTGCATCGCGCTGGGTAAACATAAAACCATGTCTGCATTTGTGATCGGAGAAATGACAAACAACAAGCGCTACTCTACACTGCCCAAAACTCACGTTTGAATCGTCAGTGGCAAATTTTTTAAATATGAAAACGTACTGGCTGTGAGTCAGCATTATTTGTCAGAATCATAGACTGTATAGGGTCAGCATGCGTGCCGAAGGAATCAGCATATTAGAATGATTTCTGAAGGATCATGTGACACCGACGACTAGAGTAATGATGATTAAAATTCAGCTTTGATCACAGGAATTAATATAAGGATAAGATCCTTTAAAAATATTTACAAACATCAAAATAGAAAAGTTATTTTTGCAATATTTTACATTTTTTGTATACTATATATTTTTTTAGCAAATAAATGCAACCTTGGTGAGCATTAGAGCTTTTTTCAAAAACATAAAAAAAATCTTACCAACCCCAAACTTTTGAACGGTAATATTGCTGTAAATTGCTTTAAATAAACACATCTACTAATTAAAAAAGTGATCAGGACCCCAGTAATATAATGATTTGAATACATTTTATTGGGAGAAGAAAGTGGCTGCAGTGTGATATGAGACATGTGGTCAAATATACAATTTAGCAGTCATTATACAAAAACATTGATGCTGTGAATGACCAAGAAGGAGTATTTCATAGTAATAAAGCAAGAAATTCTGTAAACTATTCTGACAAATGATCTGATGAAACCAACAGGCAACAATAACAATAAAAAACTTTGGTTAAACAGTTTTCAGACAAGGGTGTGATTGAGACATAATTTCAGTGAGGATCCATATCCTATTGTTGTTCAAATTCTAAACTTTTAGCATTTCAAACAATTTCCTGTTTCATCAATAACTTACTATTTAGCTTAGCATGACAGACATGAACAAACATTAAAGGGGTCATATGATGCGATTTCAAGTTTTCCTTCCTCTTTGGAGTATTACAAGCTCTTGGTGCATAAAGAAGATCTGTAAAGTTGCAAAGACTAAAGTCTCAAATCCAAAGAGATATTCTTTATAAAAGTTAAGAGTCAGCCACGTCTACCTAAAACTGCTCGTTCTAACACGTCCCCACATATCTACGTCACGATGTGGGAAGATTTGCATAACTCCGCCCAAATGTTCACGCAAAGAAAGGCGTAACTTTTATTCTCACTGTAGTATTGTTGTTGCCGCCGCCACCATGTCGCGAAGACGCTGTGTGCTTCGTTGTGAAAGCCAAACTACACTCTTAAAAATAAAGGTGCTTCACGATGCCATAGAAGAACTTTCCTGGCTGTGTATTCCACAGTATCCTACTAGACTGCTACCCAAAAGCTCTAAAACAATGAATGACTTATGATTTAGACAGCAAAAACCAATGCGTTTTAATAATTAATAACATGATTATTTATCAGGTACCACTGGGTTTTCACTTATTATGTCCAAAATGTCATAAGTCTTGACTATGATTCCTATATTAACATTTATAGATGTACACCAATATTTAAATGTTTGGGGTTTGTAAATGTAGGCTATATTTTATGCTCACCAAGACTGCATTTACTTGAATAGTAAAAACAGCACTATTTTGAAAAACTAGTATAATTTAATTTATTTGATACGTTTTAAATTTGATTTGACATTTTAAACATTTTTAAAAATACTTTTTGTAATTTATTCCTGCTGGATTTTCAGCATTATTACTCCAGTCTTCAGTGTCGCATGATCCTTCAGAAATCATTCTAATATGCTGATTTGCTGCTCAAGAAACATTTCTAATTATTATGAATTATGAAAACCGTTGTACTGATTAATATTTTTGTGACAACATTCAAGATTGAAAATAAAGTTCAAAAGAACAGCATCTGTTTGAAAAGGAAATATTTTTTAACCGTATAAATGCCTCTGCTGTCACTTTTGATTAATTTAAAGAATCCTTACAGAATAAAAGTAGTAATTTCTTTCTTTTTTTAAAATCTGGTGTACAAGAAACATTTCTTATTATTCAGAAATAAGTTCAAAGGAACAGATTAAATCTTAAACGTAATTTCTGATCAATTTAATGCACCCTTCTGGAATAAAAGTATCAATTCCATTCAAATAATAATAATTTTGACCCCTACATTTTGAAGGTGGTGTACATATTCTTTGTCATGCCCAAATGAACACATTACTAAATCATGATTCATTCTACATGACACATTCTGGAATTCATTCACAAAGGGTTTTAAAACTGATTCAAAGTGCATGGTGCAAGTCATTGATATGACTAACTTCTGTCTAGTGCCATAGATCCCTGCTTTGGACCTCTTCTCCAGAACGATACACCCACCAAAACCTCAAGAGAGACATCTTGCGATCATTTAGTCCTCTCACGAGTCCTCTGTGAATATCTGAGAATGTCTTTCTCATGTTGTACGTTCAAGATATTTGTGGTCACATGCTTTCGTTACATAAGCCAATAATGAGCTGTCAACAGATGACTGATGATCTCATGTGTTTTTAATTAATTCATTAATTTATTTAGAAAACTAACGTGTATTTTTTGTTATGCATGTCCCAACTGATATATAGAATTTGCAATTGTCAGAGAATTCAATTAAATTGTTATCTTATTTTATTTTAGTATAATATATTATTTGAAGGCCTCTGAATCAAATCAAATCATAATCATATTGCATCATGGTCTAAGGTATCAGCAAATATCGTATTTCGTGATGAAATGTCCAATTTCACTTTCATTTATTACATTTTATCAGCAAAACATATTGCTTTATATTTCCCAATAAACCCAAAACAATGCCACATTTTTAATTTGGACAAAAACTAGGGCCAGAGCTGTGAAAATACTTTTTTTTTTAAACAAACCTCTTCCTCGCACATTTATATTGCTTAAGTTCAATAAATTTGAATCTACAGGTGCATCTCAATACATTTGAATGTCGTGGAAAAGTTCATTTATTTCAGTAATTCAACTCAAATTGTGAAACTCGTGTATTAAATAAATTCAATGGACACAGACTGAAGTAGTTTAAGTCTTTGGTTCTTTTAATTGTGATGATTTTGGCTCACATTTAACAAAAACCCACCAATTCGACATTCTAATTTATTGAGATGCACCTGTTTATGAAGTATTGAGTTATGGTCTGAGGACCGCTGGCTTTATGGGTAGTGACAGATGAACAAAAACTAGGCTATGAGATGAAAATCAAATCAAATGGTACTGTGTAAAGAACATCCCACCGATCATAAATTTCACCAAGACGAATTTCAAAGTGATTCCGTTATGTTCAGACCTACTATCAGGTAAAGCTGTGTCTAAATAACTTGTGTATCATATAACTACATGCTCTTAGTCCATATGTAGAGTACTGAGGGTTAAACAAATACTACATACATTTGAACCTGTGATTAAATCATTCAAGGGAATGATTATTTCATTCTTATTCCACTTATTATCACTGCAGAATGCCCTAATAAAACACAATACCCATTTATTATGATTCTCTATGGGGTTCAGGTCTGGTGAGTTTGCTGGCCAGTCAAGCACACCAACACCATGGTCATTTAACCAACTTTTGGTGCTTTTGGCAGTGTGGGCAGGTGCCAAATCCTGCTGGAAAATGAAATCAGCATCTTCAAAAAGCTGGTCAGCAGAAGGAAGCATGAAGTGCTCCAAAATTTCTTGGTAAACGGGTGCAGTGACGTTGCTTTTCAAAAAACACAATGGACCAACACCAGCAGATGACATTGCACCCCAAATCATCACAGACTGTGGAAACTTAACACTGGACTTCAAGCAACTTGGGCTATGAGCTTCTCCACCCTTCCTCCAGACTCTAGGACCTTGGTTTCAAATGAAATACAAAACTTGCTCTCACCTGAAAAGAGGACTTTGGACCACTGGGCAACAGTCCAGTTCTTCTTCTCCTTAGCCCAGGTAAGACGCCTCTGACGTTGACTGTGGTTCAGGAGTGGCTTAACAAGAGGAATACAACTGTAGCCAAATTCCTTGACACATCTGTGGAAAAGTTCGTTTATTTCAGTAATTCAACTCAAATTGTGAAACTCTGAAGCTGTTTAAGTCTTTGGTTCTTTTAATTGTGATGCTTTTGGCTCACATTTAACAAAAACCCACCAATTCCAGGTAAGACGCCTCTGATGTTGTCTGTGGTTCAGGAGTGGCTTAACAAGAGGAATACGACAACTGTAGCCAAATTCCTTGACACGTCTGTGTGTTGTGGCTCTTGATGCCTTGACCCCAGCCTCAGTCCATTCCTTGTGAAGTTCACTCAAATTCTTGAATTGATTTTGCTTGACAATCCTCATAAGGCTGCGGTTCTCTCGGTTGGTTGTGCATCTTTTTCTTCCACACTTTTTCCTTCCACTCAACTTTCTGTTAACATGCTTGGATACAGCACTCTGTGAACAGCCAGCTTCTTTGGCAATGAATGTTTGTGGCTTACCCTCCTTGTGAAGGGTGTCAATGATTGTCTTCTGGACAACTGTCAGATCAGCAGTCTTCCCCATGATTGTGTAGCCTAGTGAACCAAACTGAGAGATCATTTTGAAGGCTCAGGAAACCTTTGCCGGTGTTTTGAGTTGATTAGCTGATTGGCATGTCACCATATTCTAATTTGTTGAGATTGTGAATTGGTGGGTTTTTGTTAAATGTGAGCCAAAATCATCACAATTAAAAGAACCAAATACTTAAACTACTTCAGTCTGTGTGCACTGAATTTATTTAATACACGTTTCACAATTTGAGTTGAATTACTGAAATAAATGAACTTTTCCACGACATTCTAATTTATTGAGATGCACCTGTACTACAACTTTTGGACATCTGAAGCAATGCTTCTCAACAGGCTCTCTCACAGGTCTGTGCTTTTATAGTAGGTGTGTGAGTGAAAAGGCTTGAGTGAGAGACAGACACATTAACACACAGGTGTGTCAGCAATAACTAATTCACACCAACACCGACATTTCGCGTCTAGGCGTCTCGCCATTCTACCTCACAGGCAATACACATTTGCTACACACACACACGCACGCACGCGCGCGCGCGCGCATAAATGATATTCACTGCACGTTCCACCGGCATTTAATATAGCGTTGCCAAAACGTGGATGAAATTCAATAGCGTTTAGAGGTTGAAATGAATATGGAATACCTGGGCTTTCATCAAACAGCAGAATCCCGCGGATAAAGAAAACATTGGAACATTCAGAGCATGACGTTTCAGTTCGAAAAATGACGTATTGGCTTCGAACACATTTGCAGTCGATACATTGACGCTGCTTGACCTGCAATATGCTATTAGATAGCGTAAAACTAGATTGGTTTCTAACAATCTTTGGGGCGTTTTTTTTACCATTAAGCCTTGTATATCTTTATTTTTTTAAAGATTTGTCTCCACCCATTGTAGCGAAAGCCGCACGTCTCTGACACACCCTCTGAAAGTGAATTCGTGCATTAGCCTTCAACAACGCAAATATCATCCACATCCAAACCCTCAGCATTCATATTAAATGAAGATGCAGCGCGTATCGTGACTCGATGCGCCCTCGTAAGCGTTTTAACGAGGATCCTCTGTAGCGCTACATATGCAGTGCTCGCATTTCAATCACATCCACACTGATTCAGATAATACATGAAAGGAGAAGGTAATTTCTTCGATCCATACCTGGACATAATTGTTCTCGCAATATTCCGCGACCCTTGAAAGGTTTTGGTAGCTCTCCACAAGGGCTCTTTTTCCAGCCGGGATTTCTTCCTCTAACAACATTTGTAGCTCTGCCATCTTACATCCCTCTGCATTGCTCTTCTCCCCCTCTTTCATTGAAACCAGCAATTTAAATCTGTATTTAACCTTAGAATGATCGCAAAGTAAAAAGAGGTGCTAAACTCTGATTTTGTGGTGGCTGTGCTTTAAAAGTAAATCTTCTGTAAAAGTAAAACTACTGTAAGGTTAACCCTGCCTGGTGTAAAAGTTTAAAAACCATTGACAGTTGAAAACATTCCTTAGAAATTTAGAAAAGTAATCAAAAAGGAATGAAATGTAATCAGTTACATTACTTTAATAAAGTAATTGAAATAGTTACACTACTTATATTTTAAACAGGGTAACTTGTAGTCAGTAACCTATTACATTTCCAGAATAACCTTCCCAACCCTGGACAGGAAGGGCAATGGAAGATCCCAAATCTATTCAGAGGAGGTTTGAAGCGGCTCTTAAAGTGATCCAGAGTTTACCTAAAGATGGTATTACCTCTTTATTAAAGGAACACTCCACTATTTTTGAAAATAGGCTCATTTTCCAACTCCCCTAGAGTTAAACAGTTGAGTTTTACCGTTTTCGAATCCATTCAGCCGATCTCCGGGTCTGGTTGTAGCACTTTTAGCTGTAGCTTAGCATAGATCATTGAATCTGATTAGACCGTTAGCATCTCGCTCAAAAATGACCAAAGAGTTTTTATATTTTTCCTATTTAAAACTTGACTCTTCTGTAGTTACATCTTGTACTAATACCGTAATAATCAAATAATAATCAAGGAACTTTGCTGCCGTTCCATGTGTGCAGCAGGCGCAATGATATTACGCAGCGCCTGAAAATAGGCTTATTGGAAGAGAGAGCGAGAACTAAAGGAAGAAATGTATTTGTTTGTCATGTCAGAGCGATATAAAGGGGAGTATGTGATGCTTTTCCTAGGGTTCGGGAGTTCACAGGGTCCATTTGGCAGATGTGAGCGTGACTGGGGCCAACACGCAACAAGGGGGACACAGAGAGCCTCAGTGTGGGAGTCAGGATGGAAAACCACAGCGACACTTGGACCGGTCCAGACTGACAGAATCTCAGCAGGCAGTGGAAGAGGTTGGGCTTGAATCAGTGTTTGAATGAGTCTTGAGCACCATGACGTCAACAAGCAATAATGTGATCAACAAGCTCATTTTCCACATAAACTTACAATGCGAGTGAATACTATTATACTTCTGCTAGGAATCATTTCCTAAAAAGGCAAGACTCTATTACTATTGCATCGTGGCATTTATTGTAGTCTATATTGATATTTATTTCCTTTCATCAATGAGCTGGGATTCATATAATAACAAGAAAGAAGTCACACTTTATACTTTGAACCCTGTAAAACCTGACATATGAAATAAGTCAGAATTTTTTTTTTTTAATGGCACAGTTTAATGAACCTAAAAAGAGAAAAGAATGTTTGATATATTGATACATAAAAATTCATAAAATTCTGATGTATCAAATAAGATACATCAAATATATCATATTTAATACTAGGGCTGGGTATCGATTCAGATGTCCCGATTCGATTCGATTTTGATTCGCAAGCTCTCGATTTGATTCGATTCTTGGTTCGATTTATTCAAAAGTAACAGTAAAGTCATTTATAATTTACAAAAGATTTCTATTTCAAATAAATGCTGTTCTATTCATCAAAGAATCCTGAAAGAAATGTAGCATGGTTTCCACAAAAATATTAAGCAGCACAACTGTTTTCAACATTGACTATAATAATCAGAAATGTTTCTTGAGCAGCAAATCAGCAAATTAGAATGATTTCTGAACATCAGGTGACACTGAAGACTGGAGGAATGATGCTGAAAATACAGCTCTGAAATCACAGGAATAAATACATTTTGCAGTATATTAAAATAGAAAATAGTATTAAATTGTCATTTTTACAATATTTTAATTTTAATTGTAAATTTTACAACATTACTGTTTTTTTTACTGTATTTTGGATAGGTTTTGAATGAACCGTTTCTATGGTGTACACTCTTAAAAATAAAGGTGCTTCACGATGCCATAGAAGAACCTTTTTGTCTAAATGGTTCCATAAAGAACCTTTAACATCTGAAGAACCTTTCTGTTTCACAAAAGCTTCTTTGTGGCGAAAGAAGGTTCTTCAGATTATAAAAAGGTAAGAAAGAGATGGTTCTTTAAAGAAACTTTGACTGAATGGTTCTTTGTGGAACCAAAAAGGGTTCTTCTATGGCATCGCTTGAAGAACCTTTTGAAGCACCTTTATTTTTAAGAGTGTATTAGGTTGTTTATATATGAGCAGGTAGTTTGCAGTCATTTGAATATATCTCAGCCTTTAATGATCCTTTTCTGACACATTACGCATATTTTTACATTTTCCTCAGAGTTATTACATTCCAGACTAGAGGAAAAATGCAGGAAAAATAAAGTCTTTTGACTTTTAAAATATGGGCAGAAACCAAATGCCAGGGAAGCTCGTCTGTTATAGCTTTTGGAAATGGAGATTAATTATAAAAATAAAATGTGACCCTGGACCACAAAACCAGTCATAAGGGTCAATTGTTTTTTAAATCATCTGAAAGCTGAATAAATAAGCTTTCCATTGATGTATGGTTTATTAGGATAGGACAATATTTGGCCGAGATACTATTTGAAAATCTGGAATCTGAGGGTGCAAAAAAATCTAAATATTGAGAAAATCACCTTTAAAGTTGTCCAAATGAAGTTCTTAGCAATGCATATTACTAATCAAAAATTAAGTTTTTAGATATTTACAGTAGAAATTGACAAAATATCTTCATGTGATCAACATGAATTTTACTTAATATCCTAATGATTTTTCGCATAAAAGAAAAATCGATAATTTTGACCCATACAATGTTTTTTTTGTGGCTATTGCTAAAAATATACCCCAGCGACTTAAGACTGGTTTTGTGGTCGAGGGTCACAAATGTGTGTGGACAAATTCACTGTTTCAAATTGAAAAGCTCAGACTGTCTTACTGATATGAATGTGTTCTGGCATACAGTATATGTGGACCGTTAAATCTACGACAATGTATGTAGTATATTTTTTTAAGCAGCAGACATACAATACTTATGTTATTGTTATTGTAAAGCTGGTAATTCTTTTGTAAGATGAATAAAGAATTTGAATGGATAATTGTGTTTTTGACTGCTTAAAAGAGACAGACAGATAGATTCATGACGGAGAATATGGAAGATTTGTCCTAAAATCAAAGACAATCAATGTCGGCCCATTGAGATACTGTAGTGCTTTCCACACAGACTGAAATATAGGGAGCACAATAACAACCTGGTAGTGTCCAAAAACTTGATAATACTACTTAATGAAAGAAGAACTGTTTCCAAAACAGGTTTCCCAATGGGGCTGTTCACACAGAATGCTTTTTCAATTACATTGTGCTACTTTTCCATTGTTTTTCTATGTAAACACATGATAGACGGAAGTGTTTGACCACAAAATGGTATCTGGCAAGGGCCCGGACCTTCAGTAGTACACTTCACCGAGACTTAAACAAGGTCTCATACCTGCTTTATAAGCCTTAATGTCATTATGCTTTAACACATGATGCTGTGATTTACTGTATCTCTCACAGGTTGCGAAGTATATTGGACAGAGGTGCCCCGATGCTCTTGTGTGCAGTGGCTTCTGACTCAAGTCTTGTGTACCAGAGACTGTGTGAAGGCTTCCTGACCCCCGACCCTCCAGTGGACATCCAAGACCAAGGCCGCCGACAGCATCGCAAACGGAGGTTACAGACGTGAGAGAAACACCCAGATGATACAGCCAGACTGTGATTCTTAGCTCTCCAGATGTGAGGATTGGGCAGTGCGTCCAGTTCGAATGCATTTATGAACTCATATTATCTTTGAAGATGAGAGAGACTGAATTTATAAGATCAGCTTAGACATGGACCGTATTTGTGTGTATGAGTGGATCCATGCTGCTTTTGTCTGTTATACAGAGCATTACACAAACACAACACCACTGAGGTGCTCTTCTTTACTCAAATACTTGAAATGTCAGATGTGTAAAATTGCACGTTCACAGAGAAAGCTGAAAAATACATTGGTATTTGTATTGTGTTTATAATCCATCTTAAAGGGATAGTTCACCCAGAATTCAAATTCTCATTATTTACTCACCCTCATGTTGTTCCAAACCTGTATTACTTTAGTTTTTCAGTCAGACAGAACAGAGCTGGAAAAAACATCAATAAACCAGATGCCTTTGCTTTTCCTTGGTTAGTTGATCATTGTGTATTTATTTATTCTTTCACTCAGCATCGCACTTGCATTTTTGGCAATATTGTTTGGCCCATCTGTGTACATAGAGAACTTAAGCATACATGTGGGACACTGTTCACTTTAGTGTGAAATTAATGGCTTACTGTTGTCTCTCATTTCAGAAAAGAAAACACTGTTTGCTTAAGGCTATGGCAAATTACTGTCACACTGTAAAAGGAAGAAGCACTTCCTGGTAATAAAAACGTATCTATGTAAAACTTTCGGAAGGCTGGTTTTGAAACTTGTACTGGTTTTCAACTCAAGAATAGTGACTATAAATGTCAAGCAAACGTATGATATCCACCTGTAGAATATAGAATAAAATGAGTTATCTGAAAACTACATGATCTTAAGATACTGTAACTGGCGTCTCTAAACACGGCTAGATGCTGTGATCTATCTCAACTGTCCAACACGTCCTCAAGTCCAGCCCTGAAGGAACTGCACTGCCCTTATCTAACAAACAAATCTAGTGATGATACATACAGCACTGCTGTCCTGAGCATTGTAACATAACTCAAAGAAAAAGGTCAAAAAGACATACATAATACACTGTGGGTGAAAAATACTTGCTCACGTCGTTAAAAAAAACAATTGGAATGCTAAAAATGGCCTTGTGTTTGTGTCCAAACGCTTTCACTTCCTGTGTCTCAACAGCATGACCTGGACAAAATCACGTTAAGTCTCTCGGTAAGCAAGTCCTCCTAAGGAGATATCATCTCCACCGCTGGTCTACCACGTGTAGTGTCCATGTCAAAGGAAGGGCGAATTCCAGGATTCTCCACATGGCTCTCTCCACTGTATGTAGTCTATGTGTAGGAGAAGGCTTATGGGTAGTGTAAGGCAAGGGATTGAGGAACAGTCTGAAAATGGCTTTCCCATTCAAAACTTGGGCCAAATCCCAGTCTCCTTAACCATGGGATTTCCATGCCCCCCCCTACCATTTAAATACTGGTCCTCAAGAGTTTCAAAAACGGACCTGTAAGACATTTGGGAGAGTGTGTAGATTGTAAACAGAGTGGATAACTGGGCTGAATGTCACTTGATCCCACGCTCTTGAAGATTAATACTTGTTGGGTAAGGAGGCATGGGGGAACTTTGGGACAGGAATGACTCAATGTTGGCGCGAGTCAAACGTCTCAGCATGCTATGTCATATCCTCATTCTCTGAGCAGTAGTCCCGTCCCTGTAAATATAAAAGTTGTATAAAGAAAAGGCACCTCGAAATTAAAATAGACAGGTATAGTATATAATATTATAATTCCATGCATATTCTTCCATTTTTTATTATTTAAAGAAGAAACCAAATCAATGTATAGTTGACATTTGAGGCTTGATTCTATAGGAAAGCAGTGTTTTTAGCGTGTTCATTTTCATAGAAAAATATGGCACGCAGTTGCTTTAAACAATGGTATAACGCTATTCAAACCATCATTCAGGATGATAATTACGATAATCGTAATTAGTCACCGCAATTACAATTTCAAGGGAATAATCAACAATAATGATTTTTGTCAGAATTGTGCAGCCCTACTTGCCACCATAAGGTGTTCTGTTCTGAGTGTTTTTAGCACATCACTATGTGGTTGCTAGGGTGTTCTGGGAGGCTGTTGGGGCCAATTCAAAAGAGCCCACCTCAAAATATTTATGATATTCTGGTCCCTTTGTCTACCAGGAAAAAAATCATAATTAAAATGGATTGGAAAAGCACAAACAGTGTGTGATGAACTGTGTATTACTCGTGGTTAAGCTGAAAGTGTACTTCTATTTTGATGCAAACACCTAAGCCCAAAGTATACTTTGGTTTTTGTGCGAATGCTTAAGCATAAAGTATATTTCAGTTTTTACAAGGGTTGTAACGGTACATGTATTTATCCCGTTTGGTTCATGCAGTCAGATGACGAATACAGTCAGTCAAAGGCAATCAATCCAGAAGGGGGTGAGTACGGTAATGCAACGCTAACCGCAACAACAGGAATAAGAACCGGTTTTTAGTTTTATTTTGGCCGATCTCTATTCCAGAATTGCACACAAACCGCATAGCAATCATTTCCCAAAATGTAATTTGTGTGGAATTTTTATAAAGTCTGTAAAGAGGAGAAAATACTGTACCGCGCAGATCAAGCTCACTGTACGCGATGCTTCAAATATAGGAAGACAAATATGTGGGGGTTTATATGAATGTATCTCTGAGAGGAACTGACCGTCTTCAGAAATGTTTCGATAGCATTTTCTTTTCCTCTAACATCCATATAATGCATATTAAAGTAGTGTTTATATGCGTAGGTAACCGAGGAAACTCTATACAAATGCTGTTCCATAGGCGCCACCTGCTGTCAGAGAATAAATTTTCATTTTCATTCAGTCCGTCTGCAGTTGTTTTGTGCAGATGTCTTGTGTAACATAATTTCACAAATCTAAAGTCAGACCATTCTGTTTTTGCTTGAAATTATATAATCTAATTCAAATCAAAACCTACATGTATGTAGCACTACTGTCTGTTCAAAATAAATGAAAAAAAACAAAAACAAATCTGTTGTACTGAACCCCAAAAAAGAGGTACGCATTGAACCGTGACTTCTGTGTACCGTTACACCCCTAGTTTTTACACAAAACACTTAAATCCACAGTAAACTTAAGTTTTTACGCAAATGCTTAAGCTTAAAGGGGGTAGTCGTGGCCTAATCGTTAGAGAGTCGGACTTATAACCCAAAGGTTGCGGGTTCGAGTCTCAGGTCCGGCAGGAATGGTCAGTGGGGAGTGAATAACCAACGCTCTCTTCCACTCTGAATACCACGACTGAGGTGAGACCCTTGAGAAAGTCACCGAACCCCCAACTGCTCCCCGGGCGCCGCAGCACATGGCTGCCCACTGCTCCGGGTGTGTGTGTGTTCACTGTGCACTTGGATAGGTTAAATGCAAAGCACAAATTCCGAGTATGGGTCACCATACTTGGCCACATGTTACTTCACTATACTTCAAAGTATATTTCCGTTTTTAACCAAACACTTAAGCCCAAAGTATACTTCGGTTTTGACACAAATGTACAGCTGAACACACAGCCTTTCAATGTATACTCCATTTAGTGTGCATAGTGTGCGCAAACTCAGGCAGTCGACACATGCGCACTAGCAGATTTCATCATTGTCCAGTGTCTGTGCTACTTCTCTCCCAAAACTGTGACTGCAAAAATGTCTCTGAACTCAGACTTGAGGACTCCTGTTAACCCCCTGAAGGCCCGGGTATACTTCATTTTCAATGTTCTGCTCTATCTCATGCACAGCTTTTAAAGTATAACCAACCATGGATGAGCACAGATGGATGAGTTTGACACATGTGGAGTACCACCTAGTGGACTCTTTCGGTCTAAACATTCACCTCGCGCCTGCAATGTTGTACTCACAGATGTCCGCGGACACTCCTGATGATGAAAATTACAGCATTCGGACAGTGCACAGACCGTCACAGAACGGGGAAGGCTAAAGTATACGTTGGGCTTGGGACAAGTACTCATCAACGCAGCAGTCTCGTGTTGTCTTGAGTAGTTGTTGTTGCTTTTCCGTCTCCATTTCTTTGTTGACTGTGAAACAATGACCCAGGACCGTAGTAATTTGTGCAAAAAAAAAAGATCGGCGTATATGCAAGCTGAGCGTATATAGTACGTGTGGTTTAAAAAATCTGGCTGCATGCATACAGTACACGCATACAATTTTAAATCACACACACTGTATGCATACCTTAGCGTAAAAACCAAAGTATACTTTGGGCTTTAAGGACTTGACAAATCCTCTCATCCTATGAGCAATAGTAATGCTACTTCACGCACCTTTTCAATCTTCTCATCCAGCATCCTGAAGAACTCCTGCTGGCTCTCTGAAGAGTGGATACTGAGGAACAATCAAGACTTGGTGACCATATCATTGGTCATCTTCTCTCCATTACTGAATACTAGTTACTCAAGACCAGAAACCAAACACAAACTCACCTTATCTTATTACTACTCCCGGTGGCATCTTTATGCCTGCCCTTGTGCAAAAATGTGCTCTTTTCCTGCAAGACATAAAGAAGAAAAATGAATGTTCTCCAGGATGGTAAAATGATTATTTGGAGATACATAATACTATGGATCATGTATACTAATGCATCAATCTTTACCAAGTTCTCTTGGTTTCGTGTGTTTGTGCGCTCCTCTTCTCCATGCATGTACTTCACCTTCTCAACTCCTTTCAATTTGTACTCATCTACACAGAAAGAGTAAAGTACACTTAAAATCACCTGGACACCGGATTCTTAATCCATTGCACTTCAGAGTTAAACAACATATTTAACAAAATAACCCTGAATTACCACCAATACTCACCAAGAAATTTCTTTTAAATACATTGCATTTATGGATGATGTACAGTAACATATTATATCAAGTACATAAAAATCAAGTACCAGGAATGTACTAATTTTATACTGACTTTAAGGTTGCTTATTTAACCTCAGAAGAACAAGGCATGACATGTCATCACTGTTGAAGGGCAGTTAAATCCAGGTCACTCCAGAAGGACTGTTTTTAATAACTGAACTGTAATTCACTTTGGATAGAAGTACCTGCTAAATCACCACTTATACTAATAGGACTGTAAAGGCTGATTTGTTATAAACTGTATTCCCACTGCGACACCAACAAGAGCTTAAAAATTATACCACTTCTCAAGTTCATTTAGCCCTATATCTGTCTTTTTTGGTCATATATATATATATACACTAATGTTCAAAAGTTTGGGATCAGAACGATTTTTTGTGTTTTTTTATGCTCATCAAGGCTGCATTTATTTGATCAAAAATACAGGAAAAAATGTAATATTGTGAAATATTATTACGATGTAAAATAATGTTTTTCTATTTTGATATACATTAAAATCTAATTTATTCCTGTGATGCAAAGCTGAATTTTCAGCATCATTCCTCCAGTCTTCAGTGTCACATAATCCTTCAGAAATCATTCTAATATGCTGATTTATTATCAGTGCTGGAAACTGTTGTGCTGCTTAATATTTTTTTTGGAACCTGTGATACTTTTTTTCAGGATTCTTTGATGAATAAAAAGAAGAGCATTTATTTAAAATAGAAAACTTTTCTAACAATATACACTACCGGTCAAAAGTTTGGGGTCAGTACATTTTTATTCTTTCTTTTTTTTTTTTTTGTAAGAAATTAAAACTTTTATTCAGCAAGGATGTGTTAAATTGATAAGAAGTGTTAGCAAAGATTTATTTAGTTAGAAAAGATTTATATTTTGAATAAATGCTGTTCTTTTTAACATTTTATTCATCAAAGAATCCTGAAAAAAGTATCGCAGTTTCCAAAAAAATATTTGGCAGCACAACTGTTGCCAACATTGATAATTCTAATAATAAATCAGAATATTAGAATGATTTCTTAAGGAACATGTGACACTTTAGACTGGAGTAATGGCTGATGGAAATTCAGCTTTGCATCACAGAAATAAATTATATTTTAAAGGATATTCAAATAGAAACCATTATTTTATATTGTAATAAAATTTTGCAAGATTACGGTTTTTTTTCTGTATTTTTGATCAAATAAAAAAATGCAGCCTTGACGAGCATAACAGACTTCTTTAAAAAAACATCCCATAAAAGATCCCAAACTTTTGACTGGTAGTGTGTGTGTGTGTGTATATATATATATATATATGTGTGTGTGTGTGTGTGTGTGTGTATCCTTTAAAAATTTGAGTTGGTAAATTTTTGAAAATGTTTTTGAAAGAGGTTGTATGCTCACTACAGTAAAAACAGTAATATTGTGAAATATTATTACAATTTGTTTTCTATTTTAATATATTTTAAAATGATAATTTATTTCTTTATTTTTGAGACGGTCAAAAATGTTCAGCATCATTACTCCAGTCTTCAGTGTCACATGATCCTTCAGAAATCATTCTAATATGCTGATTTGCTGCTCAGGAAACATTTTTTTTTCAGGATTCTTTGCATTCTTAGCATTTATTGGAAATAAAAATCTTTCATAATGTATAAGTCTTTACGGTCACATTTGATCAATGTAATACATACAAATAAATATATATATATATATCTGTGTGTGTGTGTGTGTGTGTGTGTGTGTGTACAATTCTGTAAGCGGCATTGCAAGTATTATTAACTAATAACTAATGTTAATTGCAATATTCCATATTGTGTGTACAAGATGTTTATGAGTAATGTTATACTGCAAAATAAAACAAACACATAGGCTACATCAGCTACATGTTTACATTTAATACAATTTTGAATTGTATTAAATTCAACTTTGCATCCAATTCACTCCATATACAGTCAACTCTAAGTCAGGAACCGAATTGGAATTTTCTCTATTAATATCACATTATCTAAACGTGAATATCTGTGGACACACAGCTGCGACACTGACCGGAGAAGGCATCTCCGTTGCTGTAGGCCTTACCCCGGCCCTCTTCATCACTGGGTACAGATGACAACTGCTTGGCTGAGGTGCAGCCCATCGCCTCACTTCCTCTCCTCTCCTTCCTGCATGGCACTCTCTGCTGCACCTGACCCAACAAACACAGGCATGAGTTCACACAGAGCTGCAGCAAAAATACAAGCATTCAGTACTCAAATCAGACAATCTACATAAACATACAATAAATACAGTAGCATGTAGTCTAACATGGAGCTTAGTCTATCTGTACTGATATTCGCTGAACTTCAGTTTTATATCTGGGTGTGTCACATTTATGTTTCCTGCTCGTGCTGAACATCTGATATGAATTTGGGTTAATGGGACACAGGCCTCAGCAGTGGATGCTGATGCGTTTGGACATCAGCCATTAGAAATAGAGACTAGAAATGGTGGGATGAACTGATAAGGGGAAAAAAACAGGTTTGTGAGGATTAAACATACATAACGTAAACGCATATGAGGATTCATGTACTCAGGGACTGCTCAAGGGCCCCTCAGTCGTGGTATTGAAGGTGGGAGAGAGCACTGTACATTCACTCCCCCCACCTACAATCCCTGCCGGTACGAGACTCGAACCCGCAACTTTTGGGTTATGAGTCAGACTCTCTAACCATTAGGCCACAACTTCCCTTGTAACCCAAAGGTTAAAAGTAAAGTTGTTTGGCAACGAGATATTTCAGCCATACAAATTTTACATTTTGCTACTCTAGAATTTTTTTTTGTTTTTGTGATGGTTACTTTATGGTTTGTTACTGCTGACATGTTTACCTGTACAGTTATGGTAGATTATTGTGTAGAGTGATCAGATGCATTTTAAATAATTGCTAAAAGCTTCATTGGCCAAAAATACGAACTTTTCAAAAAAAAAAAAAAAAAAAAATTAAAATTTCATTGTTTTTTGATCCTGACACAAAATGAGCTAACATTAATTGACTAATATCAGCAGCACACGTGAAAGTGTGAATGAGTACTAGTCAGGTGAAATCACTATCATACTAATTAGATTGTAAGAGCAGACTGATTGCTATAAAAGGAGGGAAGAAGCGCTTCCAATCATTGTGTTCTTGTTGCAATGGTTACCCCCAAAGAAACACGTGCAGCCATCAACGCTTTGCATCAAAGTGGCCTCACATGCGAGGAAATTGCTACAAATAATATTGCACCTGAAAGAGCCATTTACCGGATCATCAAGAACTTCAAGAAGAGAGGTTCGACTGCAGTGAAGAAGTCTTCAGGATGTCCCAGAGTGTCCAGCAAGCACCAGGACGTCTCCTCCTGAGGATTCAGCTACGGAATCGAGTCAGCAGCAGTGCAGAGCTTGCTCAGGAATGGCAGCAGGTTGGTGTGAGAGCACTTGCACGCACAGTGAGGCCAAGACTTTTGGACCACGGCCTGATGTCAAGAAGGGCAGCAAAGAAGCCACTTCTCTCCAAGAA